TTCTGGATATTAGCCCTCTAAAGTGGTTTTTAAATGGCTCTAGCAAGTAATGACAAGTTGGATGATTGTTGCAGTCTTTTGCCCATCTACATAGAGGAATAAAATTGAGGATTCAGCACAGCAAGCATATATAAAGAGGAAAAATGAGCATAGGTATTGCATAGAATCCCAACATAAAACCTGGACAAAGTGTCCTTCCCCCCTGTTCTCTCAATTCTTCCCACAGGGCAAGGTGGTTTCTCAGTTCAATGGATGTGGCTGAGAACAGTAGTTTTAATGCCTGGTGTTGGACCATGAGGTGAATATATTGCAACCACATCAAAGTACAGCCTGGGAAAATCTAAAGGGTTTAGCATCACCTAAGAAAAGGGTGCTGACCTCAACAGCAGTTCTACCTCTGAGCAGGAAGTTGCCTTTCCTTCCTTTTTATTTCTGCCTTAGACACAGAGCCGCCTTCTCACCAACTCATTCCCACACTACTAGGGTTGTTATATCAAAATTAGAAACTTGCTTTTTATTGATCTATTAACCCTTGGGCCTCTGCTTCTTTGAGCAGATCTTAATTATTGGTGCCACTGCTTTGTCTTATTTGAGGAAACAGTTTAATTGTAAAACATACACATTCATGTGATCAAGTTGTGCTGACTGTGACAATATCATGGTACTCACAGTCCCTAAGCATCTTCATACTTGCCCTTCTTTGCTTATCTCCCAAGGTAAGATGACCACAAGAAGATCTTTAGGATGTCTTTTCGGTGTCATTAAAAAGCTGCAGATGTGACACCATTCACTTTGGGCTTGCTTCGTAAGTGTCTTGTGGCAGAAGTGGAGAAATAGCTTCTTTTGCAGAATCATGAAGTTTTAGCTAATCATGGACTGTATTACATTTCACAGAGAAAATATTTTTACAGCAGAACTTACAAATTTGGGGATTCATTAAGGAGACATTATTATATGTCCATCGCCAATGTCAAGGCTCTCCTGATTCTGGAAATTATGTATCTGTCTTTACTGCTAAACTAGCACTGTTCAATATGGTATCTACTAACCCCATTTGGCTCTTGAGTACTTAATATGGCTAGTGTGAATTGAGATTTGCTGAAAAGTATAAGATACTATATTTTAGACTTGGTACAAAAATATTAATGTAAAATATATCAGTCATTTTTATACTGATTATATATTGAAATAGTAGTTTAGATATATTGGGTTACATAAAATATATAAACATTAATTTCACTGTTTTTAAATTTTTTAACATGGCTATTAGAACGTTTAAACTTACATATGTAGCTCACATTATATTTCTATTGGACAGACCTGATCTGTACTTGAGGCCAGGAAGAGTGATAGGCACATATTCATTAAATGCTCAGTTCATGTCTGATAAACTAAACTGTTGAACTGAAATGAATGGATGACGATTGTAATGATTTTTTAAAGTAGCAATTTTGATGCTGTGGATTTGGAAAGTAATAGAGCAAAACGAAATAGATTTGTGTCAAGAAATATTAAGATATGTATTAATTGTCTCTGGTGTATAGAGTTAGAACATATATAAAAAGAGATGTTAGTTAGCACTGGCTCCAGCTGCCTTCTAATGAGACGTTCAGAAGTACCCTGTAGACCTGACCTTATTTTGGCCACTTATGATTCTTTTACTCCCATGCCTATAATCCAGTAGTTTGTTCAAGAAAGACTCATTTCCAGAAAGAATTTTCCTGGTGTGCCATTTAGCTGTGGTTCTCAGACTTTAATGTGCTTAAGAATCACTTGCAAAGCCTGTTATAAAACTGGATTCCCAGAATCATTTCCAGAGATTCTAGTTCACTAGGAAAGGTATGGGGTCTAGGATTCTGTATATTAGTACCGCCAGAAGATTTCAATGCAAATGGCTTGTAAACAATACCTTGAGGAACACTGCCATATGGTATCATAATCTGGGAATAGCCTGGAAATCTAGGTAGAAGGAGCAATTTGCTCAGCAATTTGTGTTATCTGTAACTATAAATAACACATATTATAAGAACTTACACTATGAAGGATTTAAATTAATAGGTATTTTAATAAGCAAAAATTTAAAAGTCATAGTAAAGGAAATAACAGAGTAAAAAGCTAATCTACAGAATAGGAGGAAATATTTGCAAACCATATATTGGATAAGGGATCAATATCTGTACTATGTAGAGAACTCCTTCAAGTCGATAACAACAAAATGACCCAATTTTAAAATGGGCTAAAACACCGTATGTTCTCACTCATAGGTGGGTGTTGAACGACAAGTTGTGAACTCGGAGAGGAGCATCACACACTGGGGGCAGTTGGGCCGGTAGGGGAGAGACAGTGGCGGGTGGGTGGGTGGGGAGGGATAACATGGGGAGAAATGCCAGATATATTATGCACCTAAAGTAAATTAAATTTAAAAAAAAAGAAATAAAAATGATGAAAGATTCCATTCCCATGGCTCATCTCAAACTGTCTCCCTTCATGCACATGTATCCCATATTTAACCAATTACTATTCTATAAAAAAAATAAATAAATTAAAATAGGCTAAAGACCTGCATAGACATTTCTCCAAAGAAAATATACAAATGGCCAAAAAATATGACAAGATGCACAGTATCACTAATCATCAGAGAATTGGAAACCAAAACCATGAGATATCACCTCACAATGCTTAGGATGGCTATTATTTTAAAAAATGGAAATAAGCATTGACAAGGATGTAGGGAAAGTGGAACCCTTGCGTACTGTCAGTGGGCTTGAAATGCTGCAGCTGCTGTGGAAAACAATATAGAGGTTCCTCAAAAAATTAAGTATAGAACCACCATATAATCCCGCAGTCCAAATTCTGTGTATTTATGCAAAACAATTGAAAACAGGATCTCAGAGAGATACATGAAGTCCTCATATAATGTCATCGATAAGTTCTTTGAAATGGCAACTTTAGGCAAAATGACATAAACTGTTGTTTCTCATCAACGTTATAACGAAACAGTGTTTTTCAGGACTTGGTGTACATCATTTTGCCTAAAGTTGCAGCTTCCAAGAACCTGTCAATGACTTTAAGTGAGAACTTAACTGTGCACTGTGTTGGTTGCAGCATTATTCCAGATAGCCAAGATGTGAAAGCAACCTAAATGCCCATTGACACATGAATGGATAAAGAAAATGGTGTGTATGTACATGTATAAAACATTGCATATATACAATGCAATATTATTCCACCTTAAAAAAAGAAGGAAGTGCTGTCATATACTATAACATAGATGAACATTAAATGCATTATGCTAAGTAAAATAAGACAATCACAAAACACAAATACTGCATGTTTGCATTTTTATGAGGTATCTAAAGTAGTCAAATTCATAGAATGAGAAAGTAGAATAGAGTTTGCTGGGGACTGGGGGAAGGGAAAATGGGGAGTTGTTCAGTGGGTGTAGAATTTCAGTCATGCAAGATGAAAAAGTTCTAGGGATCTGTTGTACAACAGTGTGCATATTGTTAGCACTACTATACTGGACACTTTTAAATTGTTGAAAGAATGAACATTTTTTTTTACTAAAATAGAAAAACTAAAAAGTACCAACTATCCTAATAGTTCATGGTGATATTGAACTCAAGAGAAGAGCATGATAATTCCATTTCCTTTGAACAACCTCTTTTTATGAGAAATTTTGTTGGAAATTTTAAGCTAACTGAAGTAAACGTGTACTTACAGTGAAGCTGTGTGGGTGGTAAGAGGACTGGGAATCGGTAGCCTCTCCACGATGCACTGAGTGGAGGGCAGAGCGTACCCACCCTGAATGTCATTCCCAAACCAGATTGTCCAGATATTTGGATGCCCTCCACAAGGAAGAGAGATGCTCATTACAGTATGTTGTCATTTCAGAGGCAACTGACAACTCTGAAAATTCTCTTCGTCCTTTCTCTTGTCCCCATACCTGAAGCCTGGGATTTCCACACCTTAATTTTGTTCCCTTGAAACATTTTTAAATAGCCTAGGAAATCTTTAACCATTTTAGGAGTACTGGTTGCCAGGACCCTTTCTGAGACCAAAGGAGAATGATTGGATTGATTCTGTGAAGCAGTCTGAGCATTCATATGCTGTGAGCATTCACTATGGCAGCCCGAAGTTTTGTATCTGGCCAGCGACCATTGTTTTGGGTAGTGAGCTTTCTGTTCTTTCCAGGCACTGCTAGGCAAGTGGGCTAATTTGGCTGGGCTGGTGGGCTAGCTTCCATGAGTGGAGCAGATGGAGTGAGGGCAGAGACATTAAGTGACTCCAGTATTTACTAACGAGATAAATATACAAGGCTAGGCTGGTAGATACATATTTTCCTACTTTGTACCCTTCTTGGTATCTTATTCAAGCCTATCAACTCTTTTTTGGTTTTTGGTTGAGGTTTTTTAATTTTGTTCTATTTTTGTTTTTGTCTTGGCAATGTGCTGGTTTGTTTCTTTAAAATTGTTGATTATAAACTATTTCAAATCTATAAAGAGGTATACAGATACAGTATACTCACCACCCAGCTTAACAAAGAGAACATTATGTGTGCACTTGAAGCCACTGAATATCTCTCTTGAATCACATCCCACACCATCTCCTGCATTTGTGTGCTGTCTGGAACTTAGTGTTCATCATTGCTAAGCAATTCTTTATACCTTTACCAGACAATATTTTATACCTCAACAACACAGAGTACTGTTTTACGTATTTTAAAGCTTTATATAAATGGTGTTATATTTTATATAGTCGTCTGCAACCTGCTTTTTCATTCAACCTGCCTGTTCACTTTTTAAACTTTACTTGGGATATTTCTTCCAGTCTTACTTAGCTATACTGTTGTCATCACCCGTGTGTAGCATTACTGTGTAATAGTGTTGGACCCTAAAATACAGCTAGAAATGGCTTATATTGAAGCATTTTATGTGTGTCAAATTAATGTGTAACTATAATATAGTGTGTAACTGTTAAACATATTTGTTTTATTTCAGGTTGTAATATAACTTATCTTCTCATGCTTTTTTCCTGCCCCTTCTCCCCAAATCATCAACAGTAGAAAAAGAAGAAGAAAACATGTCAGGACACAAATGGTAAGTAATTTTTCATCTTTATTAAATCGGGAAAGGTTAATGAAAATAGAAAGCATATAGCATATGCTCAATAAATGTTTATTGAATGGAAAAACAAGTGGTACACTAGCAGTAAGTATCATGTTAGCCCTCACCAATGCTGAGCCAAATTCAATATCCCTGTTAAATATGGTGTGAAAACCAAGTAAGAAAAAATATTGTAAATTCTTATCTAATGCGCATTCTCTAAAAAATTCACGTATGTATAACTTTTCTCTTGGGAATCTAATGATCGTTTTTCTTACCACCATTTTGTCTAATGTAATGATTTGATGCATTTTTATTAGTATCTTATTTATAATTTATAACTTTAGAGTTACAAGGGAATTTTATGTTAGGGCAGCTATAAAATAAAGAATGACTCTACAACCACACACTACTCACACTTATTATTTTATAGTCATGACTTCAACCATCCTGGACATTCAGGAGCCAGTCATTGTCAAAAGTAAATGATGCTAAATAAAGTAGATATGATAACCATAGGGCAATGTTACCACGGACATTTATGTGCCTCTAACGTATCTAAGCAGCATTGTAAACCTCTTATAAGGTCCAGAGCACTCCAAGCAGTGTTTCCAAATTCTTTTGAACCCATGACCCACCAAGCAAGTAGATCTTTGTGAACTTTTATTTTCTTTAACTGGTATCATGAAAAAAAATGTGTTACATATTTTTTTAATGCACAGTTAATTACAATCAATACAACTTTTTGTTTTTTTTTTTTTTTTTTTTTTTTTAAAAAAAAATCTCGCTGTGTCACTCAGGCTGGAGTGCAGTGGTGTGATCTCGACTCACTGCAACCTCCTCCTCTCAGGTTCAAGCAATTCTCCTGCCTCAGTCTCCCAAGTAGCTGGGATTACAGGTGTGCACTACCATGCCCGGCTAATTTTTGTTTGCTTTTTTGGTAGAAACAGAGTTTCACTATGTTGGCCAGGCTAGTCTCAAACTCCTGACCTCAAGTGATCCACCCACCTTGGCCTCCCAAAGTGCTGAGATTACAGACATGAGCCACTATGCCTGGCCAAAAATACACTTTTTAACCCCTCCCCTCTCTGTAGAGAAGCAACATACCCAAGTCCTCTATGATATCAAATGTCAGACTTCAAAATAATTTTTACATGTCTTAAAATGTAATAGCTTTTTTAAAGTAATTAATAAATGGTTAAAGGACTTAATTTCCCTGAGTAAAAGAGAAAAAAAAAGTCCCTAGAATCTCCAGCTGACAGTTCTCTAAGAGTTGTCAGACATTTTACACTTTTAGTTGTTCCAACTTGCCTCATTATGACAAAGGCTCGCTCCATCTTGGGACCCTCCTTGGTTGTCATATCCTGGCAGCAGGCTCAAAGAAGTATTAATAGTTACTCACCTAAGAGAGACTGGACAGCCCCAAGAAGTGGGTCCTTTCCCAAATCCTGTCTCCCACTTACTCCACAGCTTGCTGCTGAAATGGAGGGGCTGCAGAATACATTGAAATGAACACTGGACTGCGATGTGGAGGTCTGGATTTCACTCTCGTGTGACTTTGGCCAAGATTCTTAACCTTTTGAAATATAAGATTCCTCATTTGTTAAATGATAGTGGGTAAGGGGTGTTCACTAGATTTCTGAAGTCTCTTTTATTTTCCAAACAGGCTTTTTTCCCCCTGTTAATCCATGATCTTTGACAAAAAAGAAAAAAAGAATACAAAGAAGTCCATTCCACGTCCCACTCCTGAGAATCCCATTCCCCTGAAATAATCAGTCTTTGGAGTATATTCTTCCAGCCTTTTAATATGCATATTCTATAGAGAGATTATCTTTTATATAAGTGTTATATGTATTTCATCTTATTTTCCTTTCTGTGAGCTCATAATATGACTTCTAAACAATACAGAAAGATATAAAGTAGACCATGAAAGTCTCCCATAATCCTGCTTCTCTCTCCAAAGATAACCATTTGTAAGGATCAGAAATGCCTTCTGACTTTTTAAGAATAAATGTGCAAATCGAAAATTGTAAATTTAATTAACTTGTAAATGAAGGAAAGTATAAATCATCAGGTTTTGAGATACTGGTATTTTGATATAGTCATATAAACCAACTCATGTTTCAGCACAAGCCTGGTACATTTTGGGTAGTGATGAGAAGGGACAGAAGAAGGTACATCTCCACAGAGGAGAGTTGCCTGGGGGGCCAGGGAGGCCTTTGAGGCAGGAACTCGAGGTCGAAGAGGATGTGGATGAAGCAAGGGGAGGGGTGGAACTCCATCAGCAAACTTTCTAGCCATATTTGAGGTACTCAAATCACTTTTACATAATTCCATTTCATTTTTTAATTACTTTGATTTCTTTTCTCTTTTTTCTTTTCTTTTTTTTTCAGAGACAGGGTCTCACCCTGTTTCCCAGGCTTAAGTGTAGTGGTATGATTATGGCTTCCTGCAGCCTCAAACTCCTGGGTTTGAACAATCCACCCACTTCAGTCTCCTGAGTAGCTTTGTATCATAGGCATATGCCACTACGCCTGGCTAAATTTTTGTAGAAATGTGGTCTTACTATGTTGCCCAGGCTGGTCTCAAACTCCTGGCCTCAAGCAATCCTCCAGCCTGGGCCTCCCAAAATGCTAGAATAAATGCAGGAGCCCCTACATCTGGCCAGTTTCTAATTTCTTCACGTACTTTTTGATTTGGTCTTCACTATAATCCTCCTGAAAAATGGCTTTCCATCTACATTTTAAGCATTTATATTGAAGAGTTTAAAGTTTTTTGGGTTTTGTTTGTTTTTTCTTTTTGAGACAGAGTCTCGCTCTGTCGCCAGGCTGGAGTGTTGTGATCTCAGTTCACTGCAACCTCTGCCTACTGGATTCAAGTGATTATCCTGCCTCAGCCTCCCGAGTAGCTGGGACTACAGGTGCATACCACCACGCCCGGCTAATTTTTTGTATTTTTAGTAGAGACAGGGTTTCATCGTGCTAGCCAGGATGGACTCAATCTCCTGACCATTTAATGATCCATCAGCTTCAGCCTCCCAAAGTGCTGGGATTACAGGCATAAGCCACTGTGCCCGGCTAAAGATTTTACTATCAGAAGCCTGCAACCAATTTTAAATTCATTTTATTTTTATTGTATTGTGGTAAGAACAGTTACCATGAAGTCAATCCTCTTAAATTTTAGGTGCATAATACAATATTGTTAATAATAGGCACCATGGGGCTGGGTGTGGTGGCTCACGCCTGTAATCCCAGCACTTTGGGATGCTGAAGTGGGAGGATCATCTGAGGTCGGAAGTTCGAGACCAGCCTGGCCAACATGGTGAAACCCCATCTCTACTAAAAAAAATACAAAAATTAGCTGGGTATGGTGGCACATGCCTGTAATCCCAACTACTCAGGAGGCTGAGGCAGGAGAATTGCTTGAACCTGGAGGTGGAGGTTGCAGTGAGCCAAGATCATGCCATTGCACGCCAGCCTGGGCAACAAGAATGAAACTCCATCTCAAAAAAAAAAACAACAGTAGGCACCATGTCACACAGGAGATCTCTAGAGCTTATTCATCTTGCATAACTGAAGCTTTGTGCCCCTTGGACAGCAGTTTCTCATTTCCTCCTACCTCACAGCCACTGGTAACCGCCTTTCTACTCTCTGCCTCTGAGTCTATTTTCGAATCCTGCATAATAGATCTCAAGCATGCTGTTCTTCAGCCTCTTATCTCTGCTTTTCTGCCATCACCTCAATGTTGGTTGTAGTATTAGAATGGAGGGAGTGTGTTGGTGTCTAGCTTTATCTGTGATTCGCTGAGGTGACTTGGGCCAGTCACCCTGTCTGGCCTGACCTCACCTTCTCCACCTCTAAAAGGGGTGTGCCTAATCTGTTGATATCTACATTCTTTTCATGGGTTAGTTTCTTTATTTCCTGCAAAAGATTCTAAATTTCTCCACTCTGACTTTTAAGGTTTTGGAGTCAGAAAGAGTTAATTAACTTTCTTGGTGTAATACCCATAGAATAAATTGCTCGTATGTTTATCAAGGTTGTAAATGTAAATATATCACGGAAAGTCATGTTGAAATATATCATTTCACACTAAAATATCTTAACCTTTATGAAAGTTGTGAATAAAACAGCTCTTGAAATTTTTTTAGCAGTTATCCCTGGGACTTACAGGATCGATATCCTCAAGATAAATCAGTTGTAAATAAGATGCAACAGAAGTATTGGGAAACAAAGCAGGCCTTTATTAAAGCCACAGGGAAGAAGGAAGATGAACATGTTGTTGCCTCTGATGCAGACCTGGATGCCAAGCTAGAGGTGAGCTCTTTATTGCTGTCAGCCCCAACACGGCCGCCTTGCTAGGATCATGGTCCTAGAGTGTACTCACTGAGACAGAGCTAGGTGTGCTTTATGTTTGAAAATGAGGGGCCAGGCACTATGCCTCACACCTGTAATCCCAGCACTTTGGGAGGCCAAGATGGGTGGATCACGAGGTCAAGAGTTCGTGACCATCCTGGCCAACGTGGTGAAACCCTGTCTCTACTAAAAATACAAAAATTAGCTGGGCGTGGTGGTACGCACCTGTAGTCCCAGCTACTCAGGAGGCTGAGGCAGGAGAATCGCTTGAACCCAAGAGGCAGAGGTTGCAGTGAGCCAATATCGCACCACTGCACTCTAGCCTGGTGACAGAGTGAGATTCCATCTCAAAAAAAAAAAAAAGAAAAGAAAAGAAAAGAAAAGAAAAGAAAAGAGATAATGAGGAAAATCTAGGATTAGGTAAACTCAGTCCCAGCATATTTATTAAAAACTATAAAATCTCACATAACCACCATGCCTCAGTTACTTTGTATTTCAAGAACATAGTTGGAATGCATTGCCTGCAGTAAATTCTCAATAAATGTTTTTTTGAAAATTAACACAATCAAAGAGCGTCTGATAGTCATATCTGAGAAGTCAGATTTAGAACACTAGAATCTGGCAAATGTTAAAGTTTTTAAAAAAAGAACTTAAGTAAAATGTCATGGAAAGTAGAGTCTAATAAGTTTTGTATTGGACCCTGGAAAATCCTAGAATGAATTAACTAAGGAGCTATTTAGTTAGACTAGTTAACAATATAGTAAGCTGGATTTAGATATGGTTGATCTGGTATGTTAATATAAGAAGGCTGCCTAACTCCCTGTCTTGCTGGACATTTCTGCCAATGGTTTAGATTAAAATTTTGAAAGCATGCCCATCACTTCTGTAAATAACAGGGCACTGAGAGGAATAATATCTTAGATGGTCTGATAAGGATTCAGAATGAACTCAAACTTTAATATGTACACTAAGGTGAATGAACTGAACATTTAATGGGACTACAAAAACCCAAGATTTCGAAAAGCTTTCCAAGAGGGGTCAGGATGGTAGAAACCATAATTATTCTACATCAGAGAGGGTTAAAGGGAAATGTTAGTTGTCAATTACTTGGGAAGCTCTGTCATGTGAAAAGAGATAAGATTCGTTCTAAGCACATGAGGGTAGACCAGACCCAGGAAGAACTTTGTAATGTTAAGGCTGTCCCATGAGAACTGGGCTGCCTTTGAGGTTAGGACTCTCCTGTGAGATGGATCTGGGCTACTGTTCTACCTACTGTCTGCTGTAACTTTAGGAGAACTATACCCAGTTTCTCATATCCTCATTTTCTTAATGCATGGAATAGAGATATTAATACCTACTTATTACAGCTATTATCAAGATTAAATTAGATAACAGAGTGATGGCTAATGTTTATTAGTGTTTATAAACATTATACTATACATGTTTATAAACATAACTAAGGTTTATTTATAATGTTTAATGTTTATGAGTGTTTTATGTCCCAGGAACCATTCAGAGTGCTTTCCATATGGTATCTCTAGTACGTAGCAAAGCTCCTGACCCACTGGCCCTACCTCCTCATCCTGCATTTCCTCTCTCCCACATGCCTACACTTCCCTCACCCCTGTCCAGCCGTGGTGGCCTTGTCTCAGTTCTCAGTCCACAACCAGCCAAGTTCACACCTATCTGAGCCTTCGCTGGCTTCCACCCGGACACCATTTCCCCACATCTTCCCTTCTCGTAGTTCAGGTTTCTCCCTAAAGGTCATGCTGTTTCAGGTCACTGCCTGTCCACCCCTGCTCCCCACCCACCCCACCCCTGCTCACTGTCTAACACATGACCTTGTTTTATTTTATTCATAGTACTCATCTCATTGAATTATCTCAGGGGTTCATCTGTTTGCCCACCTTGCCGCCCCTGTGGAATCAAATTCCATGTTAGCTTAGTCACCACATATCCCCAGCCACACACAGAATACACATTCAATAATTACTAAAGGGTATGCGTTAGTGCAATTAATGTCTGTTCTCAGCCCTTTCCTTCTGCAATTGAAAATTTTTGAAGCTGGGCTTGACAAGGATGTTTTAATGGAGATTTCTCCAATGGTGAAAGTGGAACCAGAAAGCACCTGTTTTAATTTTTATATTCTAAGTACAGTGTAAATTATTATGTTATATATGCTTTTTATAGCTCATAGTTTTTTTAAGAACCTAGTAAATGCATGCATTATTCAAAAGATAATTTAATGTGTTAAATTACAAATATACTAAACATTATATGTAGGCTCTTTCAGTAGTATTTTGGCTGAACCAAGTGTTCTCGTACTTTTTTTTTTTTTTTTTTGAGACAAAGTCTTGCTGTGTCGCCCAGGCTGGAGTGCAGTGGCATGATCTCGGCTCACTGCAACCTCCACCTCCCAGGTTCGAGCGATTCTTCTGCCTCAGCCTTTTAAGTAGCTGGAATTGTAGGCACATGCCACCGGGCCTGCCTGACTTTTGTATTTTTAGTAGAGATGGAGTTTCACTATGTTGATCAGGCTGGTCTCAAACTCCTGACTTCGTGATCCACCTGCCTTGGCCTCCCAAAGTGCTGGGATTACAGGCATGAGCCACCACACCCAGCTGAACCAAGTATACTTTAATCAAAATAGCTGCTGTCCTAGGTATGTAGCATCCAGGGTACTTAGCTGTGACGAATAATTTAGTACATGATAGAGATTTCTGTTGCAGAAATGTTAATACTAATGTTGATGTTTGTAGCAAGGATAGATTCCATTCATGAAACATATGAAAATGATGTGCAAACCTCTTTGATGTGTTCATACCTTGAGTTGTCCATAGAAGGCTAACTTATAAACCAAGAAGTTTTATTCTTTGGGCACAGAAAACTTGTGCGCCAAGCTATAATAATGGTCAGATTCTATTGTAATCTGTTGGAAAGTTTATATAGAAATGTTGCTCTGAGTTCTAATATTTGTCCATGTTGCTTGCTAAGGAAGTCCCTTTTCAAAAGCAGCTCTTCAGTACAATAACAGAAAAAAGTAATCTCTGCTGACAGAAGTCTTCCTGCCAGAGTCACCCTGCCATTGCAGAGTGGACTGACTAGATGATGGAAATATTTTGTACCTTGCCTTGGGCATGATTACGTTAATATATATGATTGTCATAACTCACAAAACTGAACACTCCAGAGCTGTCCATTTTATTGCATTTAATTTACACCTCAATTATTAAAAAGTGAACAGTAACAACTCCTAAAAATACTTTTTGAACATCTTTGCCCCTTTATTCAGGAAATACTGTGTGTTAGTGTGTTTTGGTGCAGAATACTTCTGTAAAACAAAAGGGGCAGATTCAAACTGCTGATTTTCTATTTTGTTTTATGGTTCTGAAGGGCTTTATTTCTTTTCTTTTTTTATACTTTATGGCACTTTAGGTTCTGGGGTACATCTACAGAACATGCAGGATTGTTGCATAGGTACATACATGGCAATGTGGTTTGCTGCCTCTGTCCCCATCATATTTATCTGGCATTTCTCCCCATGTTGTCCCTCCCCAAATCCCCACCCCCAATTATCCCTCTGCTAGTAGTCCCCCCACCAACAGACCCCAGTGTGTGATGCTCCCCTCCCTGTGTCCATGTGTTCTTGTTGTTCAACACCTGCCTATGAGTGAGAACATACAATGTTTGATTTTCTGTTCCTGTGTCAGTTTGCTGAGAATGATGGTTTCCAGCCGTGTCCCTACAAAGGACATGAACTCATCGTTTTTTATGGCTGCATAGTATTCCATGGTGTATATGTGCCACATTTTCCTTGTCCAGGCTATCATCGATGGGTATTTGGGTTGGTTCCAGGTCTTTGCTATTGTAAACAGTGCCGCAATGAACATACATGTTCATGTGTCTTTAAAATAGAATAATTTATAATCCTTTGGATATATACCGAGTAAATTGCTGGGTCAAATGGAATTTCTATTTCTAGGTCCTTGAGGAATCACCACACTCTCTTCCAAATGGTTGAACTAATTTACACTCCCACCAACAGTGTAAAAGTGTTCCTATTTCTCCATATCCTCTCCAGCATCTGTTGTCTCCAGACTTTTTAATGATTGACATTCTAACTGGTGTGAAGTAGTATCTCAGTGTGGTTTTGATTTGCATTTCTCTAGTGACAAGTGATGATGAGCATTTTTTCGTATGTTTGTTGGCCTCATATATGTCTTCTTTAGAAAAGTGTCTGTTCATATCCATTGCCCACTTTTGGGTGGGTTTGTTTGTTTGTTTCTTATAAATCTGTTTTAGTTCTTTGTAGATTTTGGATATAAGTCCTTTGTCAGATGGGTAGGTTGCAAAAATTTTTGCCCATTCTTTTGGGTGGTTGCCAGTTCACTCTAATAGTTGTTTCTTTTGCTGTGCAGAAGCTCTGGAGTTTAATTAGATCCCATTTGTCCATTTTGGCTTTTGTTGCCAATGCTTTTGGTGTTTTAGTCATGAAGTCCCTGCCTATGCCTATGTCCTGGATGGTTTTACCTAGGTTTTCTTCTAGGGGTTTTATGGTGTTAGGTCTTATGTTTAAGTCTTTAATCCATCTGGAGTTAATTTTGGTGTAAGGTGTCAGGAAGGGGTCCAGTTTCTGCTTTCTGCACATGGTAACCAGTTTTCCCAACACCATTTATTAAACAGGGAATCCTTTCCCCATTGCTTGGTTTTATCAGGTTTGTCAAAGATCAGATGGTTGTAGATGTGCGGCGTTGCCTCTGAGGCCTCTGTTCTGTTCCATTGGTCTGTATCTCTGTTTTGGTACCAGTGCCATGCTGTTTTGATTACTGTAGCCTTGTAGTATAGTTTGAAGTCAGGTAGTGTGATGCCTCCATCTTTGTTCTTTTTGCTTGGAGTTGACTTAGCTATGCAGGCTCTCTTTTGGTTTCATATGAAGTTTAAGGTGGTTTTTTCCAGTTCTG